AATGCGAGTGTTGTGAACTGCATTTCGTAAGCGCCTGTGATACAAAATGATAAGCATGTTCCGTTCACAAGTGCGACTCGCTAGAAGAGTCAATCCATACGCATTTTACCATCCACAGTGCAAATGCTGTGAATGCGTGTGCAGTGAACTGCACTTAATACGCACGCAATTAATGATGCGCAACCACCCGTATCGGCAATCACACATTTTATAATGGCGACAGCATTGTTTGTGGTGTGTTATCAAAATAAGTTTTTATTGTGATTTCATTTTTTATTGTTTTTTATTGCGATATTATTGTGAGGAATTATTGTGGATTTAATTTTTAGTACTGCAGCAAAATAAGAAAGTTAAATTTAATTTGTTTAAAGTACATATATATTTTTGTTGTATTAGATATAACCTCAAAAAAAGAATTTGGAAGTTTTTAACAATTTCAATTCCAAAATTGTACTGAAATATTAAATTAAAATCGTTTTTATAAATAACATTTTAATTTAAAAAAAATTACTAATGTCAATAATCTTTTCTTTTTATTTAATTCAAATAAGGCTGAAGTATAAATATAATTTATTCGCATTATACCGTCACGCATGTGCCCATCACAATATGCGACAGTTATGGATCGCATATGATGACGCATCTGAGTGGTCCAGTGAACGCGCATAGTGCGGATAAATCGGCACGCGTGCAGATGATATTAGTAGCACACAACGCGCATTTTGTTATCTGGGATACCACGTAGGATTCCATGTGGTTTCCTACGTGGGGATTTACATGGGATTTTACTCAGGAATTCATTTAGGAATTTATTTCTACTTAAATTCCTAAGTAAAATCCCATGTAAATCCCCACGTAGGAAACCACATGGAATCCTACGTGGTATTCCACATGGTTTCCTTAGTAATGTTAAAGATTACTGTCGCTCCTATACTTTCACCGCTAGGTGGCGAAAGTGACTTCTCTTGCTGTTGAGACGACTTTGGAAGTATATAAAAGCTGATAACCTGTAGCAGAGAGGACGTATTTCAAATGATCGTTTTTTTACTTTTTTGATGACTTGTAACACTAATACTATTTATTATTTAATTTTTTATTAAATAATTTTTAATCCTTTGAAAATTTCTTCATTGGATCTTTAATAAAATACTATGTGATATCTCATATTAAATCCTAGGTGAAATCTTGCATGAAATCCTATGTCAATTCCCATATAAAATCCTATGTGAAATCCCTTGTAAAATTCCAAGTGGATTCCCATGTAGGGATATTCAATAAGGCGGATAATTTTTTTCACATGGGATTTGGTTTAGGATTTGACATGGGAAAATAATTATAAATAAATGATACTGTTTTTCACTTGGGGATTGACATGGGAAAATCATTATAAATAAATGATACTGTTTTTCACATGGGATTCGGTTTAGGATTTGACTGGGAAAAACATGTGGGATTTGATATGGTTTTATGCATAGATGAACTGTTCAAATTTCCCATGTCTATTCCTAACTAAAATCCTGTCTCAATTTCCTATATGGTTTGACATGGGAAACCACATGGTAAACCACGTGATTTCCTTCATGGAAGTAGGGTTTTACAAGGTTTTTGACATAGGATCCCATGTGGTTTCCCATATGGGGATTTTCAATAGGGATGAACACGTTCATGTTCTTGTACATTTTCTTTACACATTATTTTTAAGTTGTAAAAATGATAAACATTAAAGGCTGCGCAGTAGTTTTTATAAGCCTTTAGAGCTGCGCAATAGTTTTTAGCTTGCCTACACTGAGAAAAATAGAGTTTAAAAAACTGGGAGTCAATATTGAAAAAACTAGACTCAGTCCAGTAAAAGTACATTAATTCATTTCCATCAAGCATCTTAGGGTGTTGCGTATAGTGTATAGAGGGCCTTAGTTCCAAATGTCACTGTAAAGAGCATTGAAACACAGGCGAAGATTATAAGGCGCGCTGCAGTGTGCATAGTAGAGAAACTGGACTCAGTCCCCTACTTCGAAATTTTCACAATAAAGGAACGCAGGCGCGGAACCTGTCAAAATAAATGGCCGACGCGACGCGAAACGAGTGTTTCCTTGTATTCACTTAGTCAATTTTATATAAAAAAACAATAACCAATCATTAAAAAAAAGAAAAATATGTTAAATGCACTCTTTATATATTCATATTCATTAATTCACAAATTTTATTCTTCATACATTTTCATACTTACAATTAAGAACTCAATGCATCGGAACATCTTTCAATCATACGGGATTGAACACCTACCTAACCATACAACTAAATATACGCATAATTATAAATCGCACGCTTTTACATTAAGCCTCTCGGCTACGCAATCGATGGGGGAAATTTCCTATTTAAGAAACATCCCTTACCAATGAAATAAATTAGATGATGCGTGAATTTTACTTTGTAATTAATGTAAGTATGGATGTGAACAATATTCATAATATTGAATAAATAATATTGTCAACTAGTTTAAATTTTATACGGTTATTAGAATTTAATAATAAATAAATAAAAAACATTAATTTTTTCTTACTAACCTTGAAACCTTTTTTAAGTTTGACATAGTCCTCATGGTAAATTTGATTATTCTTTTTTTTCGTGTACAAAATAGTGAATTGACCTTGAATGAAATGTATAATTAATTATTCTCACAGCAATATTTAATAATTTAATGAACTTAACTGCACTGCATAATAGTTGAGAGTAGTAAGAGTAAGTGAAACGGTAAGATAAGTGAACGACCATTAGTGTGAGAGAGAGAGAGAATAACTTGTGGTTTTCGAGTAGGTATCTACTTTATGTGCACGGTGTTCATTTTTCGAAAGAACTGGACTGAGTACTATTTGTTCAATATTCGCTTCTATTATTGACTTGTGTTTTGTACACTGCCGCGTTCTTTTAACAATTACATGAGAAAGAAATTTCTCATTCCAATTTTTTATACTCTTATTCCCTCTTAGATTATATAAACAGTCTTGTTTAAGCTGATGAATGGGATAACTTGTGTTGAGTCCCAAACTGTTCAGCTATGAAACTTCTAATACTATAGTGTGTACCTGTCACATATTATTCTATAAAGGAGTACTACACTGACTGCATAAATCATTTTTCCATTTTTCTCCGTGTATAAAGTGAAGAGTCTTAACAATTATAAGTTATTAAAATGGCAATTTAAAAAAAAAATTATTTATAAATTTACTTATTCCAATTTTCTAAAAAAAATTTATTTATAAATTTACTTGTACAAGAACATGAACGTGTTCATATGTACAAGCACTTGTACATGAACCCGTACAAGATCATATACATTTTCTTGTACTAGTTTCTTTTCTTGTACAAGTACTTGTACATTTTCTTGTACAAGTTCCAATAGAAGAACTTGTTTCAAATCCGTATACAAGAAATTGTACATTTTCTTGTACAAGTTTCAATAGAAGAACTTGTTTCAAATCCGTATACAAGAAATTGTACATTTTCTTGTACAAGTTCAGCTGCTGAACGTGTGCATTTTCTTGTGCAAGATCTTATACAGGGATTTTCAGTAGGGTAGTTATCCAGTAAGAAACGAAAAATTGAAAAGTATTAAAAAGATTCTATTCTTTTGAATGCCATTTCTGTCCAATACTTTTCTATCCAGTGAGACCAATATGAAAAGTAACGATATCAATCATCTTGAATACCCACCCACATAGCACAACTTTTCACTGTAAGGTTACCTGAGACGACATCTGTAGGGCTTGTAAGGTTATCAAGTAAGAGTGTGGTAAACACGATGAAGTCTAAAAACTTCCGCCTTACTGTAGCCTTACACATGAAAGTCACTGTAAGCTTACACAGTAAAGTCACTGTAAGCTTACACGGTACCCTCACAGCACCGGGATATTCAGGATATCCCAGAGACGTCCTGGGGATATCGATTTGTTTTCGGAAGTTTGGATATCTCTGGGATATCCTAGGGACGTCCATGGATATCCAGAGGATAATCCAGGGATATCCAAACTTCCGAAAACAAATCGATATCCCCAGGACGTCTCTGGGATATCCTGAATATCCCGGTGCTGTGAGGGTAAGGTCATTGTAAGCTTACACAGTAAAGTTACTGTAGGGTTACACGGTAAGGCCACTGTAAGCTTACACGTAAGGTTATGGTAAGGTTATACTGTAAGGCTGTGGTAAGGTTATTATTAAGTTGTAATGTTGAGGTAAGGTTGTGGTAAGTTTACAAATTATAGAAAATATTAACAAAATAATTAATAATCTAATTAAAAAATAAATATTAAAAAAAATTAAGTTTGTTGCTTTTCTAAATTTTGGAAACCTAACATGAAACAGAAAATTTTGGAAACAAATTTGGGGGCACTAGGACTCGAACCCGGGATCGACGCGCATAAACCTAACACTCTAACTAACTGAGCTAAGTGGGGAACCGGCGACGCGACGCGCTATTCAGACTTTTCACGTTTGCAAATTGCGTCCCTTGTGACGTCACAATCAACTTTTTCAGCCTCGCCAGACTTACAGTCAGCTGTTAGCGTACCTTATTAGAAGTTAATTTCATCCAACTTTTTATTAATACCATTGGATCTGAAATTAAGTCCGGTGTATTACAAATAAATTACAAACTGAGTTTTATTTAAGTAAGAGTACAACTAACTTTAATTTTCAGTTAGTTTTTATGATTAAATAAAGTTGATAGCTTAAGATAAGTCAAAAATTAAAACTAGCCACCATTAAATTTAAGACTTTGTTTTTACTGTGCAGTGAATTTTCTTGACATCTGCCGGACAGTTACAGTATTATAATACCGACCGCGAAATTCAAATTGAATTATTTTTACTCGAATTTTTTTCGTTCAACTTTCAATCCCTAATTATATTGTGCAGATAATATATTAATATTGCAATATTCAGACAATGAGTTTTTGAAATAAAATAATTATTGTGAATATTGGAGTAGACGAGGAGAGAAACTTTTCGATTGGATTAATAATTATTGGCAAGGGAATACAAGGTGGTAAAAATGTATAATACGTAACCAGAAAGTACGATATAAAGAGCAAAATCTGTTTTAGCATAAGCAAGCGGGTACCGTGATCATGGGTATAGAACTATAGGTATAGCAACTGTTAGAGCCTTCTCGGTACTTTTCGGTCATTGAACTATTATCGTTGGTGAACCCAGTTGGTCCACTCCCTCCTCACCGATTCCAAGCTCTGTCTTGCAGCAGCTTGTTCCGTCCGGTCCCACCATACCACACTAGTGACTCCTCACGTTCCTGGACAGCTCTTCCCCTCGACATCCAATGGCTTCTGCCTCAACTCCCCACCAGGTAAACATACAACTATCCACCCGATTCTCTTCTTTCTAGTCTTGTTCACTCTTCCCTCCTTCCAATATTTCTAACTCCCCTTCCTCTAAAAATCTCCTCTCCTCACTCTCCTCACTCTCCTGTGAAACATCGCTTTACTGTTTGCTGTACTTCCCTGCCTGCGCGAGTGCAGTGCCGTAACACCACCAACTTATCTCTTTTATTATTTACCTCACAGGTACGCGAAACTTGAACGCAACGATTGCAGAGAAATGGGAAAAGACACTGCACTCGCATAAACATTCAGTATCTTTAAGCATGCGACAACGCTTCAACTAATGAATATTCCGTGAACACGTGATCGCATAACCACCTTAAATATATCTTTTTTCAAACCGAGACATTTTCTTCAAAATAAACATTTTTTTTAAAATCAATTTACATTTCTTTATTATTATTCTTTATTTTCTCTTTTTTCCCATCATCAAGTTTATGTGACTCGATTTAAACTAAAAGTGTACAAAAAAGACAATTTTTGTGTCATCGTAACAAAATGCACGTGCTTTTTCATAACTTTTGAAAAGGTAACGTGCATACCTTCAATAAAAGTTGATGTGCGATTTGTATGTGTTTATACTTGCGGGTAAACGGTGAAAAGGTGAAAGTGATTTATTGAAGAACGATATACTTTTAAATCATTGCCATTTAAAGGACTGTGTCATTTTCATTTTTTTGTCATTTTTAAAATTAAATTATTCTTTCTCAACCTGTCGAAAAAAAAGAAGAAAAGAGATGGATTACAACTAAAAATTTGAAATGGAAGAGAAAATGAAATTTAACCGGAAGTATCAAGTCATCAGTGTAAAAAGTGACATTTACTTGAGAGTTTACAGTTGATAACTTGAGATAATAAAATGCTATCAAAATGTCAAGAAAAAATTGGAGAACTACATGGTAATTATAAAGAAGAAATATTTTTACTTTTCTTTGAATATTATTGATATCGTAGAGCTTATAGTGGGGTAACTCGCTTAAAACCGGCTATTACAGGAACATTCCCTTAAGCTATCATGGAACCTTTCCAACATTCCTTTGAAATATTACATCCACATTTAGGACTATTAAAATGTCCGATCTTTTGAATGTTCCTTTAGAATAACTCTGAATTTAAATTAGTAAAAATGTTTACTAATTTGAATTAGTGTCTGACTTTTTGCTTTTGAATTAGTAAATTCAATTAAATTTACTAATGAATATTAATTTCTATTAATTTATTAGTAAAATTTACTAATTCAAAACCAAAAAGTCAGTCACTAATTTAAATAAGTACATATTTTAACTAATACAAATTTAAAGATAGAATATAAGAATATTTTATTGGTATATTACTTTTAAAATTTATAACCTGCTCAGTTCGAAATAAATTTATAACTTATCCAATTGGCGCGAAAATAGAATACTATATCGTCAATAATATGAATAAAAATATTAAAATATTTTTATAAGATTTCAATGGATTCATTGTAAAAACAAAGTCTTAAAGTACTTACAGCTCAAACATGTTTTTTCTTAAACTCAACTCATTTTTGGGCTTAAAATAAAAAAAAACAATTTCAGGTCTTAAAATCAGTTTTCTAATCAAATAGTTAGTCAATATTTGGACTAATTTAAGTTGTTTTAGTTAAAATCAGGCTTAAAATAAGACTTATTTTTTATTCCCGCAATATTTTGATGGAATATTCCTATACATATTATTCCAAAGGGAAATTTAAAATTTTTTAATTGAGGCCGGATCGTTAGGATAATCTACTTCCAGTTGAATACTGAGGGAACCTTTGTATTCAAGAAATATTAACTGAATATTCTGTGAGAAATATTAAATGTTAATTGAATATTCCTTGGGAATCTTTATTTTCTTAATATTCCGAAATGAACGAAAGTTATTCTATACTTTACATTAGTATACATTTTTTTAAATATTTAAAAAAAAACATGTAAGGTATAGTTTTCCAAGGAATATTAATTATCTTGAAAATGCCTCTAATAAAATAGTGACATTCCATTATAGAATATTAAATTAATGCTCCCATGTAAATTTCTCATGAGTTGGAAATTTGAGGAATAGTAAAATTATGGTATTCTAAAGGAAAGTTGGGAAGGTTTCGTTGAAGGTTAAAGAAATATTCCTGCAAATTCTCATGTTATGTGGGATTACATTTGACAATAAGTCAAAAATCATAAGAAATAAGATTCTTTTATTTCAGCTTGGTTACAAAACTTAACTTCTTTTTATTCTTCACTTCCTTTCTTATTCTGATTACAACCCGAGTCGAAATTTAGACCCTACTTAGCCTCTGAAAATGTAGGGCTTATTCAGATTTAGCAGTCGTAAAGTAGGGTCTGATTTCAATACAATTTTTAAAAACTAGACCCTCCTTTGACTCCCAAAACAGGCTGAAATTTGCCAATCTTCCATTTGGAGAAGCAAAGGAGGGTCTACTTCTAAGAAACCTATACCGTACTTTTATACCTCGTAGACCCTACTTTCATACTCCTAGACCCTACAATTAGAAAAAGAAAAATTTGAAGATTTGCTCAGATTCAATTGAAGCACTTGGGATGAGTAAAAGTGGAATTTTATGTGTTTTATAGCGTCTATATACACGAAGTGTATATAGACGCTATAAAACACATCAGTATTTATGAATTTGGAGTACTTTTTGCATTTGCAGTGTTTCAAGTAATGCATTAAAAAATAATTCAAAATTTTCTTTTAGAATGTAGGGTCTAGGAGTATGAAAGTAGGGTCTACGAGGTTTAAAAGTACGGTATAGGTTTCTTAGAAGTAGACCCTCCTTTGCTTCTCCAAATGGAAGATTGGCAAATTTCCGCCTATTTTGGGAGTCAAAGTAGGGTCTAATCGTATTAGAATTAGACCCTACTTTACTACTCCTAACACTCAATAGACCCTGAAAATTCAGGGTGAAAGTAGGGCTTAAATTTCGACTCGGGAAGCGTCCGATTGTTATAGATACACTGTAAAAATTTTTCGAAATTTTTCTTACTGAAAAGTTAGAAATATTTCGAAAAACGTTGAGAAAATGATTTTGCTATACAAAGTTCGACATTTTTCAAAAAGTATAGAATAAATTCGAAACTTTTTCGAAAAGTGAGTAAGATTAAGTAAATTTCGTAAAAAGTTCGAAATTTTTCTTACTGATTTCGAATTTTTTCTTTACTAGTTATGAAGTATTGCAAAATGTTTTAGAAAATTTTCTAATTTTGTTACAAATTACAATCTTTCTAAAAACTTTAAGATATTTTTCTACCCATGTACAACAAAATTTCTAATAATATTCATAAATTTTTCTTAAAAATGTAGAACTTCAAATATCGTATGGTTATTTATTTATTAAGAACAAATTCTGTATTTTTTAATATAGTAAAAATTAATAATTAATGACACTACAGTTTAAAAGATATTTGAATTTAAACATATAACAATTTTATATTAATGGATTATATATAGTCCTCCCTTGTTATTAAGTGTTTGTAAAACAAACTATTTTTTTATTAATAACAAATCATTTTCATCATAAATTTTATTTGAAAATGCTGACCATCAAAAATTCAGAAATATTTTATAAAGTAAAATTGTTAATTTATAATAAAAGAAAAACTTTATAAATGTATACTTATATTAAATCGTTTTATCTCTATTTTGCACCCATTTATAATTTTTATGCTTATTGGAACAGCATTAATTAAATAACTGCAGTTAATATTAGTGAACAAATAATACCAATTGAAATTAAAAAACATCCTTACTATTTGTAGAGCAAAAAATCTTTATTAGCTATGCAATTTTTCTAAATTTTTAGTTAGAAAAATATCTGAAAATTTTACTAAATATATCGGAACACGTTGCTATAAATATCGAACAAAGTTTCGAAATTTATCTAAATATTTTGTTCGAAAAAAATCGAATAGGTTATAGAAATTTTTCTTAACGTTTGGTTAGAAAAAAGTCGAAAGGAGTTTCGAAATTTATCTAAAAACGTTGCTAGAAAATTCGAACTGAGTTTCGAAATTTTTCTTACCACTCTGTTCGGAAAAATTCGAAACAGATTTCGAAATTTTTCGACATTATTGTTTCGAAAAATTTCTAGCCTTTGCGAAATAAAACTGGCGAACAGTTTTTCGAAAAATTTCGAAAAAAATTTTTACAGTGTACATACTGTACATTATTATAAATTATTCAAATTGTCAAGTTTTAAAAATTTATATGCAAATTTTAATAATTCAAAATGTATCCACATATAGCAATTATTTTTTAATTAATTAATTAATTAATTAATTAAATTTTCTGAGTAAAGGAAGATATTAATTCAAAATCAAACCAATAATTAAATTAATTATTAGAAAATTAATAGAACAAGATATAGCAGGAACATTTCTTTAACCTTCCTCTGGAATATCATAGGAAGGATTCGAGTAATATATTTAAAAATTTTTCTGATGGGAACTTCACAATGGATCATCATTGAAACCTTACATTTTAATATAATATGAAAACATTTTGTTAATTCCAGAATCTTAACCCTCCTACGGTTTAATTAAATTGCAGAAATCGGTACCAAAATGGTTCAATTTACCTCGCAATTTACCCTGCATAGAAAATTTTATATCTCAACATGCTTTAATATAGTTTTTGGGGTCGCTGATTACGAATCCGGTGCCCATTTTTGAAAATTCAAAATTTTGTATCGAATATGGCGGTCTTTTTTCAAAAATTTTCTTACTTTTAAGGGGTCAGGCCACCATGCACGTGTAAAAAAGAATGGTCAAATTTGGGAATTTTTTCAAAGAGTATATTAAAAGCTATTAAATTTTCGTATTCAGTACTTTATTATATATATATATATATATATATCTCAAAATGTACCAAAAAATATATTAAACATATTTTTTTTATTATAAAATGGCCTGCTCCAGGATCCGTTTTAAATAATGACGTTTTTTGGAGGCCCAAAATGGGCGGAATGGCTGTACCGACAAATTTGAACCTGGAAAAAAAAACCAAAAATTTTCTTTTCATATACGCAATAAACTATAGTAGACCACGTAGGGATTTTTTGATATGTTGCAAATTTTTCTTTTTATAAACAATTAAGTAATTAAATTTGTGTACGAAAACAGTACTTTTTGTTTATATATACTTGCCATTTTTCGAGAAAACGATATTTTCAAAATCCCCTACGTGGTCTACTATAGTTTATGGCATATATGAAAAGAAAATTTTTGGTTTTTTATTGCAGGTTCAAATTTGTCAGTACAGCCATTCCGCCCATTTTGGGCCTCCAAAAAACGTCATTATTTAAAACAGATCCTGGAGCAGGCTATTTTATAACAAAAAAATATGTTTAATATATTTTTTGGTTCATTTTGAGAAATATATTAAAGTACTGAATACGAAAATTTAATAGCTTTTAATATACTCTTTGAAAAAATTCCCAAACTTGACCATTCTTTTTTACATGTGCATGGTGGCCTGACCCCTTAATCAAAATTTTTTTTTAATATCCGCCGTATTGGATCCGCCATTTTGAATTTTGAAAATCTGATGCCAGATTCGTAATCAGCAACCTCAAAAACCCCCCAAGTAATGATTTTCATAAGCTGATTTTATAAACTTTTTGATTAAATGCACATTATCCACTTATTAAAAAACTTGCTTGTTTAACTAGCATTTAAAGTTATGTAACTTTGATAAAAAAATTTTTTATCATTGCTAACAAATATTTTTGAAAAGCTTATAGCATTAGCTTCAATTTCCAGTTTAGATCATGTAATTCCGATTTATTGTTGACGAGTTATAAAATGTTTAGTTATCCCGAGTATACTCGGGGTTAACCCCGTTTTGGTACAGTCAATAAATTTACCCCGAGTTATCT